CTCGTCTGTAATTAGTGACCTTTACAAATGATGTTAAATACTAATAAATTTTTTCCCACTCCAGTGGAATGGTAAGTTATGATTTTATATACAAAAATTAAAAATTTAACATCTGGTTAATGTGTTAGAAAGTAACAATGTATCTAAAGAATGTTAATGATTAATAATAATTCTCATTATTGGAACTGTAGTAAATAACAGGGAGTAATTCTCTACTTTAAATCTTAGTCCGATAATATTTCTCAGAAATCTGTGTGTTGTAGATATTAACTTGTTCAAGTGGAAAAATGTAAAGCTTTATATTTTACACCTTTCAGAATGATGCCCAACTAAATATTACAAAGCAAAACTGAAAAATAGGACATTGCACGCCTAGACCATCTAATGCTTGAGAATATCAATAAACTCAAATGACTAAAAGAAAATAGTATTTGAAGAAAAAACAAAACCTTCAATTCAGTACCAATATTAAATCCTTGTGGTAGACTTTTAAATAGACTAGAGCATTTGACAAGACCACAGCTTTAACATAATATGCAGACTTTCCTTATTAAAAATACATCTGGATCCAGACATCTTTCAGATGTGCTTCTTGTTTCAGGATCCATCATTTTTCATTTTACTGTGATCATCTATTTTGTACAAGTGTCCAAATACACTGAGCAAATAATTTACAATTCACTCTTAAGTTGAATGATGACTGGAAATATCAGTGCCATATGATCCGGAGCTCCATCTTCCATCTGGAGATTTTTATGAATTGCACTGATAACTGACTTATTCCATTTTTCCAAGAGACTTTCCCTTTCCCCCACTATTAATTCTTAAGAACTTAGTGCATCACATATTGTCATTTTTAATATGTAAGTACAAGGGCACTTTTGTAGAGCCAAGTAAGCAACAGATATTATCTTCCTTTGCGGTCCCATATTTTTGGTAAAAACTTGAAAACCAGGATTCAAACATTATGTGTAAAATATCTAACTAGTAGATTAAAGTGTCTTCCTCAACATATGAATTAAGAAATGCACTACTACAAAACTTGTCAGCCGATTTTTCAAAGGCCAGAACTTTATCAGGTTATTTTAGTAATCCTTTGTCGGAGCTATGTTTTTCCTGCTTGGAAGAAAATCCACTGGATAGACATTGATATTGTCTATTTTGCTATTTCATTTTTTTACATCTACTTTGACATGCCCTAAAGCTTGAGGACTTTAACATCTATTATATAAAATGCAAGTGAACGGTACAGTAAAGAAACATGTCTTGGCAAAAGCATTAAAATACTCTGCTTCAGTCCAAACTTGTATCTTGAGAGCCTTTGTTTCACCTTTCCCAATCTTAATGGCCCCTTATCCTTTTCCAATAAGGATTACTTTTCAAATAAGTTTTCTGTGTATGTTGTGTACTGCATTCTGAGTCAATGTAGATCAGCTACTAAAATAAAAGTCTAATTTCTGAAAAAGAAACAAATATAATGTGTATATTTACTTCCCCAGAGCTGTACAACCTAAATACTGCCTCCATCTTCAACACAAATAAAACACATTATTATTCATGTGGCATCATATGTGCATGATGCTTCCCAGTTAAGAGGACACCTGAATCAGTGAAGCCAATGATTTCCAATTGGACGATTAAGATGTTAGTGTAAACCAATATTCAGCCAGTATGTTTTGGTGGATTTAAAGAGAGCCACTTGCTAATAGGGCCTAATTTCTCACCACAAAATAGTATGAATCCAGGGCAATCTTGAAGTAACCCATGTAGTGATGGCCGGAGGGAGGAGAAATCACTCCTCTTCAGAACTATGTGTAGCATGCCTCAAATAACCATGTTACAAAAGTGTTTCTGTATAAGAATCAATTTAAAAGTAAGAGAACATTTTTATCATAAAAGTGTACTGAATCCCACACCTGCCCAAATTATTTGCTAACATTTAAGAAAAAACTAAAGGGGCTGGGTCCTACCACCCAATAAAATCACTGAAATCTTGTATCCACCAGCTAGTGTAACAATATTTGGCATATAGCATAGCTGCATTTTGTGCATGTGCTATACTGACTGAAGGAAAGACTAACTGAGGGTCTGAACAGGAAATCCTTCAACCTCAGTCACTGAATTCACTCATTTGACTCCTATGGGACAACTTGTACAATTAAGGGTTATTTGCATGAATAAATATTTGTAGAATCAGGTCCTTATCTTCTGGGTAGAGAGCACCTATTTATGACAATTTCCATTTCTGTTCAGTACACTGAACAAAATAAAAGGCTAATCAGTAGAAGTTCCCTAACCCAAAAAAGCTGCAATTGATGATACAGGTTGGACCTCTCTGATCTGGCACCCCAAACTGGGGAATTTTCTGGACCAGAGAAGGTTTCCTGATATAGCCCTGTGCCACCCACCCTGCGAGCTCGGGGTGGGGAGATAGGAGCAATTGGGGAAGAGAAGCACTACCTCCAGCCCCAGTTGGGCTGCCTCCTGGGTTGTTGACCCCACTGCTGCTCTGCAGGCAGGATTGCCTGCTGGGTTCCAGCAGCCTGCACTATTGCAAGCTACCACAGGTTCCAGGTCAGCACTGCCAGGAGCTGAGACTGACCCTGGTCAGTCTGCTGAGAGTTCAGGTTCTGGTCCCAGCCCCACAGCAACCCATGGGCTCGGCCCCAGTTCTGCGGGCTGCCCAGGGCTCTGGCCCCATGCTGCTGTGGGCTTCTGGGGCAACTGCCAGCCCCAGTCCTGGTCCTGCTGCTGCAGGCTGCCGAGGGCTTAGGGGCTCCTGCCCCATGGCAGCCCGCAGGCTCTGGCCCCAGCCCCACGCTGTCGCCGGCCCGATCCTGTGCTGCCAGGGGCTTCCCCGACATGGTCCCAGTGCCACAGGCTGCTGCCTGCTCCGGCCCCATCCCGCTGCTTCAGCCTGGCCCCTCCTGGATTGCCCTCCCGCCACCAGGCTACCAAGGTGCTCTGATCCCCACACATCCATTGTCCTGTCAGACCACAGATGTTGCCAGACCAGAGAATTCCAGTTTTGGGAGGTACAATCTGTAGTTTCTTAGGAGATGCTACGGATCATTTAAATCACAAGTTATTCTATAACAGAATTATCAACCAAAAATTAAAGAATTTTTTCCACATAGAAAAACTGTATTTGATAGTTTAGTAATGGTACAAACAGAATCCAAGGCATTTGTAGAACTTACCTTAACCAGAGCAATCTGAAATTCCATTGCTATAGGCCGAATGCCTTTTCTTCTGGTATTTACAGAATTGTCTTGCATTCCTTAATAAAGCCTGGCCTACATACACAGCTTGTACTTATTTAACTTTCAGTTAGGGGTGTGCTATTCTATCAAACCAGTTAAATTAGTGTAACCCCTTAGTGTGGATGCAGTTACACCTGTATAAAAGTAATTCATACCCACATTGCTTTTTCCCCCTTTTCCTTACAGAAATAAGTTATAGTGATACAAGCACATTTATACCAATGTAAGCGCTCCCACATTAAGAGAGATGTACCATATGCAATTATGTATAATTATTAAAACAGATTTTTGTATGTAGACAAGATCTTAGAGTTCATAACAGACCCCTTTTCACCTTTAATATTGGACAGAATAAATCCTGCTTTTTGAAAAAAATAGAAACCTACAATCGTAATTTAAAATGCAACTCTGTAGTTGTTATGGGATATAAAAGTAACAAAAACTATTAATTTAAATCAAGTGTGGGGGGGGAGAGTAATCTGAATTTCTAAAAGAATTGCAGTAAAATAGAGACGGAAGTTCATTTTAAGTGTAATATATGACAATATTCCTGAGAAAGTTTAAAGAGTTTAAAGTAATTTGGGGGAGAGGGGGGAGAATATCTGTGTTTCCTTGATGTTCAAAAATTCTTTCACCTGCACAATCTAAGTCTCAAGATGAATTTCATAATTAATGGTATTAAATTGTTTTAAATATATATTTTTGTCAAGTGAATATATATTTCATGTGTTTAACAGCCCTACTTTTGAAAATAAAAATTAAACCCTTATAAAAGGTGCTTCATAAAAGCTGGTAGAAAAAGTAACATTTGCATTCATTAAATTTCAAATTGAGAAAATAGTAACTAGATCCTATTTATCATGTGTTTTGTAAAAGCGAATGGTATTATTTCTCTTAAATTCCAATAACATTACAAGACCATTTCACTGGAGTCAATCAAAAATGAGACAAAGTACAAAGACTATTCCACATTACAAATCAGTATTTACTTACCTTTATGTGAACTAACAAGAGGTTAAGGATGCTATTCAGTACCTGCAAAATTATAATATGCAAGGCAAACTCTGCCTAACTTCCCTTTAGATGTTTTCTTGTGTGTGGATAATGTGTGAAATATGAGTAACAGAGATAATGAGGAAATAAATACTATAACCACCCACACTTAATAAAAGGTCATCCTTAAAATATAAATAAAATATCAGGAAAGAGAACTTGGATATACTTGACAGTTTAAAGATGTCTGCAAAATATAAAAGCTGTTACAAACCCTTTGTTGAAAAATCCCATCTTGGCACTAGCAATGCAAATGTAAAACTTGAGAAGTGCGTGCCAAGTCCAGATGTATGGTAATAAAATTTAAGTTAGTATACTGAAATCTTGATAGTAGGGGCATCTTGTGTAGCTTACAATATTTTGAATTTAAGAAATGTGTATAAATACTTACCTATTTGGAGAACAGAAATGGTTATTGTCTTTGAAAAACACTTGGTAAGTTACTTAGCAGGTTTACATTCAGAAACCAGTTGTGTACAGACCTCGATACCAAAATTATAAATGAATCTTACATAAAATTTCCATGGTGAGAGAGTGTGTGAGAATCTTTGAAGTTGGAGAGAAAAATTTAGTGTCACATTAAGAAAAAAATACCAAACTTCCTAATCTTACGGAGTCAAGAATGGATGGGTATTCAAATAAAATGTAAATGATTACTCAGGAATATCCCTATGTGATACATACATTTGAATAACAGTGAAGATGAAATGGCAGCAGTCTTTTCTGGCTTTACTGCATTGTAATTATGATCGCTTGCCCACGATGGTGTGCTGTTTTCAGATGCCGGCTCTTTAGCAACTGGTTGGGTATTTGCTTCAGTTTTAGTGGCTGTCACCATACTTTTCTTCATGTTAATCTCTCTTTTCTCGGGAGTTAGTCTCTTCTGGGTGGACAAAGGCTTAGTACCTGTCTGTATAATTAGCAGAACCTTAATTACTAACAACAGAAAGAGCTAGCATGATGCATGTATTTAGCGACAAATTATGTCTTCATATTGCCTTGATCTATACTAAGACTCTATTCCGAAATAAACCCCCAAATTCGAATTTATAAGTGGTGCATCCACACTACCAAGCACGCTATTTTGAAATAACTGGCTACAGAATTCGAACTCTGTACTCCTGCTCTTCATGAGGATTAATGTGAATTTTGAAATACTGATTTCAAAATAACGTTAGTGTGGATGCTCCAGTGTTGCTAATTTGAACTTAATGGCCTCTGGGAGGCTCCCACAGCTCCCAAAGCGCTTCCTGAAGCTCTAAGTCCGAGGCAGCACGTCTACATTAATGGAGTCTGCCTCAGACTAATTTCAGTGCTTCCTCATAAGGAGGACCCGCTAGTTTGGATTTGTTAAATCGGGAGCTCTTAAGTTGAATTCAGTAATTTTGAAATAGTTTCCTAGTTTAGATGTGGCCATATAGAAAATCATTAAAAATGCATTTCAAATTACACAGTTAAAATACAAAATGGGTTTCTGAGTCTCTAAAGATAGAGGAAATGCATTAGCCTAGTGGTGCTGAGCACACTACTCACAAACAGACCCTGCCAGCAAACGGAACAAAGTTGTACTTAACAAATGTACACAAATTTGCATATCCAGCTGTACTGGCCTTTTTAAAGTGGTTTCAAAGAGCTAAGCAATATGGATTTAAAAGAGCTATTAAGAAACTCTTTCATTTTTTTTACACGTGACACAAATCCCCCTTATTTGCATAGTTTGTCTCCTCATTAAAAAAATCCCTAAACTTTTAATCCATGAAAACATTAATAATTTTAATTTATGAATTAGCTTTAAAAAATTTAATACTAGGGAAATTATTTCAGAAAAGCTGTACCAAAGAGTAGATAATTCTTTTAATCACACTTATGCAAAAAAGGCACCCTTTTCCTACTCTTTTTATCATTAAGATTTAACTGAATTATTTCATTCTTTAATGCAGTTTTAGGTCACAGAAATGACAAAACAAACAAATTAGTGAATCTCTAATGTTAAATATATGTAGCTTCCAAGATTTATCTGAAAACTGTAAACAAGCCATTGCACTTCAGGAAAAATGCTGCTGCAAAGCTGGGTTTTTTTGTTCAGCAACATAAGCTTACCTGCACCTGAGATTTTAGAACCGTGGATCTCTCAGATTTTGATTTGATCTTCTCTTTTGGCTTTGGTTCTTTTCCTGCACTGAGAAATTTCATGGTAGCAGCAGCATGTTTGAGAATGCAGTCATTGCTGCAGTATACAGAATCAGGCTGAGCCACATTAGAACAGCCAGGACCAATGCATTTGGATGCACCAGGAGCTTCAATTACCTAAAGAAATGCAGTACAAGAAGTTCAATTTTTAACCAAAAAATTGTACATATTTGGTGATGACAACTTAACAGAATTTCACTAGTGTGTCTTAAAAGCATAACATGATTTTTCGATCAATATCATATTCCAGAATGAACTGTTGACACTCTTCCATATCCAACTCTGATGGCCTATGAAGTTCATGCTTGCAAATTCAATGTAATCTACTATATATTTGAGAGTTTGTGCGCCTGTCTGTCAGTCTGTTTATTCAAGAACTCCTCCTAAACAGTAAGAGCTAGAACCACCAAATTAAGTATGCAGCTCCCGCTTATCATAACTTAAAGCAAGGTAAAGGTTTGGTTGTACCAAGACAATGGGATGTCTGGAATATGACTGTTTCTCATAAAAGAGAAGGGGCTGCTATATGGCACAATTATATTTCAGTAAGACCATGGGGGCACACCAGTAAGCAAGTGGCTGGCAGCGGCAGGGCTCTGCATGTTGTCAGCCTCCATACATAGATAAGCGAGCTGCCAGCTGGAGGGTGCAGTGCCCACCATCTCAGGAAGCCAATAGCTAGGTAGTATGGCTCTTCTTGCCCAGGCCAGTTCTTGCGTGCTGCCAGCTAGGCAGTGCAGCCCTACCAGCCCTGGGAAGCTACCACCAAGGCAGCGCAGGGAGCCAGTGGCCAGGCAGCATGGACCCCACCGCCCCAGGGATCAGCCTACCTTCTGCACACTCACCCCGCCCTTTAGCCTGAACCCTCATACCATTCCCAATCCCTTGCTCAGACCCCCACCTTCCCTGAGCGCCTCCTCACTCCCCAATCCTGACTCCTGCACCAGCCTCCATACCCCCTGCCCTAAGCCCCTCTTCTAAGACCCAAACAACACTGGGTAAATGTGCTGGTACTAAAATATTTATAAAACCATTAACATTAAATAAACAATAAGGAGTCCATAATGAATATTAAACAGAAAAGTACCACAGGCTTTAACAGCTATTTCTCCTGAAGTTATTGATATCTAATTAACCAGGCTGTCTCCCTGATAATGCAGAATTACTTCCTGCAGCACATTTTTCTATAGTTTTATCCAGTCTCATTTTAAAAGTCCCAAGTGACAGACTACCCCTACTTCCCTAGGGAAACTCCATCACAGATTAATAATTACTTCCCATGGTCAAGATAGACGTTTCCCAATACGCAGTCTAAATTTTCTTAGTTTCATCCCATTAGTTTAAGTGACACCATAGTGTTTGACACATAAATAATACCTCTGCCTACTCAGTGTTAACATATATCAAAAACAGGTGCCTCAAATATAATAGATAACATCCTTAAAAGCCTACCATATGTGATCATTTTGAAGTGTAGGGCAAGGAATTTAACTTTTCAATCCTGTTTTCCCGTTTGTAAAAATGATGTGACAAACTAAAAATATCCTGGGCAAACCTTATGGAATGAATATTAACTATGCTGAATTACATTAAAACTTATTAAATTAGGTTCAATATGTCTGCGGACCATTATATTAAAAATAAAATTGTGTAGGTGTTATAAAACTCTATGCAAATCCTCCAGAGAAAGGGAGATGCTAATATAATACCTCAGCTATCAGTCCTTTTGAAGCCATCCCCCTAGATAGGTTTTGCAAATGCTCATGTAAAAAGGATTCTGCAATACGTAAAAATCCTGTCTGCTAAACAGACTGATTTTAAATAAGCTCAGAACCTTCTTGATTAGCAGAGAGCTCTAAAGTTAAGGGTTGAAAGGACAGGGCCTACTTAAGTCATATAACACACTGCTTGTTCTGAGCTGAAACTGTATGAAATAGAAACCACAAGGAAACTGTTTGAGAGGGATTCTGAAGGACTGTTCCTGCCAGAAGCCATGGTAGGATTGGGGTAAGTTTATTACCTTCTGCATAGGTTTTTAAATGCTTTCTCTGTAGTGTCTTTACCTTCAGAACAACATAGGTATGTATAGGAAGTGCTGTGTTACCTTATAACTGTCAGGAATTACTCAAGTTATTAGTCTCTAGAGAAAAAAAGTAAAACAGTAGGCCTCCTGAGGCAAAGTCTTTTGCTAGAATATCCTACTAGTCAGGAGACTCTGCGCCTGGAAATCCACTGGTCACAATGGAGTATTAAACTTGTCACCACTCGAGAGAAATAAAGCTAAGGCGCTGGAAGTCAAAGACAGGTGCTCTTGCTAGCTAAGGTTACCATGTCCCATTTTTAAAGAGACAGTGCTGTATTTAAACCTTCCTACTGCTGGTCCTGACTTTCTTAAAATCAGGTAAATTGTCCTATATTTTCTGTCTCTCCCCATCCCTCTCTAAGTACTGGCAGGTTCCGGAGCTAGCTGAATCCCTGCTTGCCAGCTGCCTGCCAACTAGTGGTGACCATGGAATCCAGGGGCCAATGATGAGGCTGGGTGTGCAAATCTGGTGGCGGGGTGAAGATGCAGCACATGGGACCAGTCGTTCCTCCTGATGGTCCATCAGCACAGTCCTCATTGTATGCCAGCTCTTGGTCAGAAGGGCCCGGCCCTTCATCCTGTTTACAGCTGGCACTGGCTGAGCACTGTAAGTACTGGAGGCTGATGCATGTGGGCAGATGCCAGGCAATGGCCGGTTACATGTAGCCTCTGATGACCACCCATCAGTCCATAATGTGCTCCTTCTCTCACTGTCATCTCCCTGCTGTACCCCTTTGCTACCCCTACAGCCCTTCTGCTCCTCCATATCCCCCCAGCAGGGTGCATCCTGCTTTCAGCACTGTGTGGAGAACAGCCCCCTCAGTTCTCCAATAGCCTGGCCAGCAGGTTTCTTCCTTCCCCCATTGCATCTGGCTGGACAGATACCCTGGGAAATCCCAAGACCCTCCAGCTTGTGGCACTAGCCAGGAGCCATGCCCTGCATGTGCCCAAGTGCTGGCATTGTGACACTGGAGTGGCAAGGGGACAGAGGAGCAATTTCCTGTCTGTTCATGTCCGGAAACTGCAGGCACCATGGTAGTCCCTGGGGCAGGGGATCAGTACCTTCTTCACCTGCCAATAGGCAGTGAGGGGTCCATTTCCTAAGCCCCTTTCCCTGCTAAGCCACTTCTATAGATGGGTTAGTTGAAGCCCCTGCAGTCAAGTTCCTTAGGCCCTGGTGCAGCATACTTAGGTTTAACCCTTTCCTGCCCAAGCTGTAGCCATGTGACAGAAGGCATGCTGGGTTACACTAGTGGCCAGCAGCAGCCTGGAGGTGTCATCTGCCTTTCAACACTGCACACAGGAAGAGACCAGCTGCTTTCATTCAGCCACACGGGGGCAGGAGTGAGAGGATGAAAGAGGGGATGGGAGAGAAGAGCTCTGCAAAGATACGGGCCAGGTCATCTCTCAAAGCTCCCCTCCCCCCACATCACCTGCAGGAAAACAGCTCCCGTCCCTTCCCTACCGCAGTGCTGAAACACTGCTGCAGGCCACATTCTGGTATGAATGCTGACAAATATAGGGGAGAGCATATGACCACATGTGGGTTCCCGCACATATTATTGCCTCAGGAAGACACAGCATCGACTAGCAGGAGAGGCGGGTCTGTCCTGGGGGTCTGTCCCAACATGCCACGTGGAGATTACCAGGCAGAGACGATTATGTCGATTGGTCCATCCCCCCCCCCCCACACACACACCTTCTGAGAGAGAGGTATATGGGAATGTGTGTGTGTCTGCATTTGTATCACCTCTCCCCCATGTGAATGCTAAAGCCTTAATGAAAGTAAATATGAAGAATCCAACTACACCGTACTTCTTTTTAACAGGGGCTCATCCAACTTGCTCTTAATCTGAATGTTTGCACTGCATAGTTCTGATTGCTTGCAGTTGAACATGCTTGAATACAAATAATTTAACCAACTGTCCCATATTCAGCATAGGGAAATATGGTGTGTCTATTGCTGGACCATAAAGGGGAAATACCAGTGCAGTTGCCCTGAACTGACACACTATATTATTGATTTTTCCTCATATAGCAGAGGGTTGGGAGCATGTGAAAATTTCTGATGATTTCTTCTTGTCTCTCCTCCATTTGTCAAAAGTATTCTGGTAATGTAAGATTCTACATACAGTCACAACAAAGCTAAAGAGAGAAAGAGAAAGACTATTAGTTCTCCATATACAATTCACTGGCCTTTTTCACTGCCCTATCATATTAAAACTCTTGCATTAACCTGTATGTTCTCCAGCTGTGTCATATTTTGTCATTTTCTGCCCTACTTCCTAATCTAAAGATACCCAATACTGCATTACATAACTTTCCCCAACTCAATATATTGTAATTTGTAATTAATATTTGTTAAAGTCCTTCAGACATTTCTCAATTCACAAGACAAGTGTTGTTACACAGGTCAATTTCTACTAATTTTTCAATTAAGATTTATCCAGACAAGTTGTACATATCTAAAATCCAAACACCATCAAATTTATTTTGAGGAGATGAATATTATTCCTCAGGATAATTCTGTACAATACACCCACTTTCATGTCTGATTATCTTTACACAAAGCAGGAAAAAAAACTATTACAAGAATTAATATGTAAGTGCTTCCTAGGAGGGATCTTATACTACATTTTAAATATTTTAAATGTCCAGTTATAGTGTGTCACAAATAACTATTAAAGGCCCAATATTCCACCACTGAAGTCAATGGTAAAAATTCCATTTTCTTTTCAATGGTTTAGGATCAGGGCATAAGCACCAAGCTTTGCTGAATGCCATGGCATTTTGATTAAATTATTACTTAGCCCTGATTTTTGTTACAAGAATGTGAATTGTTTAAAACCAGAAGATGATTTACCCTGTGTTGCTTAGGTCCTTAATTTTTGTTTTTGGAAAATAAAATGAAAATGTCCATGCTTCATTTAAATCATTGCTCTGGGGTGGGGTTGGGGGATGAGGGGTTCAGTGTGCATACTGCCCCAGGGAGAGAGGACTACCCCAGCTCCCTCTCATTGCAACAGCTTGGGACCAGGTGAGATGTGCCTGTCCATGGCTTCTACAGTCCCAGCAGGTGCAGCCAATGGAGGGGTGCATGTCCTCGGGCTGTGGTAAGATACATTTGTCTCTACCCTAGGCTACCCAGCCAGAGTGAGAAATGCAGCAAACTGTGCACTTTCCCCTCGTTCCCTGACAAAGGGAAACAGCCAGCAATGTTTCCTTATGAATGCCCCGCCCCCAGCCTTCTTAAAGGAATTCTGGTGGGGTGCGAAGCTGGGACTGAAGCAAAATCATCAGTCAAGTGAAAGGGGCTGTCTTTACGATTTTATGAGATGCAATCCCATGCCAGACACATCCCATTTGCTTGGCACAACCAAACTCTTACCTTGCTTTAATTTATGATAAGCTGTATACCAAATTTGGTGCTCCTTACTCTTACCGTTTAGAAGGAAAATTCTTGGACAGACAGACAGACAGACACAGACAAACTCTCTCAAATATGCTAAAAAAATCTGTAGGATACAGCTCAAGACTTGGTGCATGAAAAATGCTGCAGAAAGAATGTTACTCTTCCGAAGTAGTCACGACCATCTTGACAACATCTTTTCGTTGTTCCTGAAAATTCAACTTTGATGAATGATTCTACCATGAAGAGTGATTGTAGGTGATTTTGAGGTTCCACGTTTATTTCCTACAATTATTTCTGTATCAAGTGTGTTCAGTGTACAAGTTTTTCCCCCCAAATGTTTTTTAATAAACTACCTTCACTCAAGTCAAGTTGTAGTCGCTCCTCTTCATGCATTGTCACCAGTAGTAAAAGTTCTGCATGCCGAATTAGGCTTTTACTGCAACCCCACTGTTTTCAAATGCCACAACTCCAAGCTATACAACTTACTGCACAATGTTTATTTTGTCGCAAAAATTAACAGATCTGATACTGAATGCACACAATGATTAGGTCTGTTGAGTAAGAAGGTACCACTTTTGCAGTCATCCTTTAGAGGAGAGATTAACTTATAGAAAGTTTGGGGGGAAAGTGTAGAACAAGAATGTATTAGTATAAGTTTGTGGGTGGGTGAAATCCTGGTCAGTGTTCCCTTTAAGCTGAGCACTTGGGCACCCAGGATAGATTCTGATGCTACACCACTAACTGGCAGAACACCCACGGCTAGCAGCATGTGTTTCTATTGATGGTGTACATCTGCACAACCCTCACTGCACAAAACTAAATTTATTCTGCACATGGATGGAAAAAATTAGAATGAACACTGATCCTGACCCCACTGAAATAAATTGCAAAACTCCCATTTACTTGACTAGAACCAAGATTTCACCCTCTATTTAAACTAAAATTGTCTGAGAAACTATTTCTGAATTTTACAAAATGTTGTTGTACCACTAAAAGCAAATTAAATATCACAGTCCTAAAATAGAAATACCTCCTCAAAATGCATTCACAGGAAAATGTCTGATTTTCTTTGTTATGGTTCAAAAACAAAAGTGGGCTTTGAATAAAAAACCCAAGTTTAAAGATCAGAACTGTTGGCATTAAAAAATCATCATGTTTTCTTAACTCCCCTCTCACCCAAATTTTCAAATAGATTAAAAGACCACCACAGATTAACATACAGATACTGACTTATAACAGTGAAATATAAAATGAAAAATTGTTAATACAGGTTGAACCTCTCTAAGTCCAGAACTCTCTGGTCCAGAAACATCTGTTGTTTGGAATTATTTTAGTTAGCTAGATGTCCACTTTTCATGGATGCAGCCAAGCTTCCCGTGGTCTCAAAAAGTTTGTGTACAGCCACCAGTGCTAGCTCTCAGTATTCTGTACTGTTATTTTGCTCTACTTTACCGCTAAATGTCCTCCAACAGTCCAGTAAGCAGTGGAAGTTTTGGTAATGCTGCTAGACAATATTGACCTCCCATGGTCTGGAAAATTCTCTCATTTGGAATTGGTCATGTCCTGAGGTTGCTGGACTAGAGAGGTTCAACCTGTAGTAAGATTAAGAGCTGTGACAGCTATATTTTTAATTATGGATAGTGAATGAGTACAAATAAGGTATCATTTAGGCCAGGACCTTGCTGTAATTGTGGTTTTCCCAATTCTTTTTTTACACAGATTTGCTAAATCAGTTTAAAATTATGTTAGTGTTGACAGAACCAAGGTAATGTGGGACTGAACCACAAGACCACCTTATTCGGGGAAGACATAGGTCAAGGTGACACAAAAACACTGACACGGAAATTGAAAATAAAAGGCAGAAAAAAATGCATAAGTTGGGTAACTGAAATCTGTACATGCATACTATGTTGGGTTACCTAAAACTAGGGCTATCAAGCATTTAAAAAATGAATAATGGTGAATCTTGAGATTTAAAAAAGTGCAATTAATTGAAATTTTAAGTGCATGTTAAACTATATCAGAATATATCTATTTGGGGGGTTTCTATATTTTCAAATATAGGGTCAGGGTTTGGGCCTCGGGGCTTCAGCTCCTCTCAAGGCATATGGCTCTAGTCAATCCCTGCCCCCTTCCTTCCCTCCACCAGGAAACTGCAGGTTGTGGCTGCTCCAGCATCTCTGACACCTGCAGAAGTGTGATGAGGCTTCAGCTCCCACCACCACTTATGCTCCCAAACCACCCACATGTATTCAATTAACATGTTAAAAACACATTAATTTTGCTTTCAGTTGATCAAGGCATTAATTGCAATTGACAGCCCTCACTAAAATTCAAAGAGCTGATGTGTTAAAAAATACACTGGACAAAGATCAAGTAATGTGTAATATAGAAATGTATAACAGACACAAATAAACATCGGCCCAAACTGGAAAAATAGTAGAAAAGAGACAGAAGGAATAAACCAGGAGATCAGAGAAGGTGATAATCATCATGGAAAAACTTCCTGCTGCCCTAGAATGTGGTAACTTGGACCCAAAAAACAATTCCATCTTGTCTGCTATCTGTCTGGAATAAATGTATGTCCAGACACTATAAATGACAAAAATCCAGTCTGGAAATTTTATAAATTGATTAATCCTAAATTTTGGTTGGACTTGCCACTGTTTTCCAATTTTTATTCCCAACTCAAAATTAATATTAATACATGGGAAATGATATATATATATATATATTTAATATTCCCTGTTAAATGTGAATACAGAAATAATTGTAATTTTAAAATTATAGAATATATATAAACAGATGTTTTAAATTTACAAATATTTTACTGAAGATGTATTAAAAGCACAGAAAAATTTCGGCAATTAAAAAAAATTCACTCCAAAGTCTACAAGGCTGTGCCAATGGCAGGCTTTAATACAACAGCTCTGATGCTGGCCAATATTTATAGGAATTATTCTTCCTGTCCTACCATTAAAATGCACACAACCCCATAAAATAAACTACTGCAGTGTTCAGTGAGCAAATATGTAAAATGTAAAAACTTGCTAACAAGATATAAAGTAGAGATGGCACTAAAGGATGATGCCTGGGCTTGCAAAAGCTAAAATAGCATCAGCAGCAGAAAGGTCAATTACTATAGCATTAAAGGGTTTTAAATTAGTTTAAATTCAAGTTAAGGGGCTTTTTGCCTGCATTTAGAATGGCATAGAGATTAGCTAATATAAACATAATAATTGTATGCAGAAAGTGGCAACAATTTGAAAGGATTTTTTAAAATATATTTTCAAAACTGTTTTTAAAAAGGAAAGTCTATTGAGCCTCCTTTTCTGTGTATGAAGAAATACAAGAAATAGCAAGGTTACAACCCAATGTCAAAGATTGGCTTGGAAGTACACAGAACAACTTGAGTGTACACACATACAAGTTTGCCAATACTAACTGGACATCTACAGTGAAAAATAAAACAATTTACAGTTATTAGAAAAAAGTTTAAAATTAAAGTATGTTCATTTCAGAATTTAATGGGTCTTTACGAAAGAACAGGAATTCAGCCAGTGTCTTGATTACCCAAATAATAAAAGAGTAACAAATGCATAAATATTATTGGGGTATTTGCTTTATCCTGATGTGCATGGTTTGTAAACTACTGTCCTTCAAAAATTAAAAAAAATATTCTAATTACTGTTACACTCCATTAATTCAGTTCTGGATCAAAATCTTTACTTGTAAATCAGAAAGATACAAACTTCAAATATGTAAAAGAAAGCAACTATGTTTCATATAAAAATATGTTGCAGCCCATAGATAACCTAATGCCTCAATAAATTTAACAGAATAAGAAGTAACGACTAAAATACTTACAGGTTGAAATATCTTGAGTTTTTTCTTCCCACTTGGATTTGCAGCTTTTTCAATCCTACCCTTGATTCCTTGATCCTCAATGGACTTTTGTTCAACTGTTCCTATACTTGTGAGTTCTGTACCATCCATGTTTACTTGCCTTAACTTTGTCTCTTGCTGATCTGTTTCTGAAACTGTCTCATCCTGCCCCTGCAGAATGGTGCAATTTGGGCAGATATAGTCCTCCCCATTCCTTTCCAACAGCCTCCCACGAGCCTCAGAAATCCCCACACAGTCACCATGAAACCATTCCTCACATCTATCACAACAAATCATAAACCTGAAAATAAAGAACAAGTAGTTAAAAATAAAATACTGAAAAATTGAAAACCAAAAATAAGTTAGTGATTTTGTCAGAGCGCCAGTTGCTTCATAACACTTATTAATTTTAACAAATGCATTCACATTTAGCATTTATTAATTTATTCTGTTATTTACATCCCCATGAAGTTACAACAGAAAAAAAGTTATATACATCTAGCAATGAAACATTTGGTAATAGGTTTATTCCCTATAGCAAATTCTCTATTTCTCAAACAGTATTTTATACAATAATTTGCATATGTATATAGCCCACCTGTTGTTATGAGGCTGGTGACAGATACAATATAGTGTATTTGGGTCATAAATCTCAGACTCAGATTTGCTTTTTGTGAACTCTTCAGATTCTTCACCTTTCATCTCCTTTGTTTCCAGGGCAGGTTTTATTTCCTTTTTAACTTGAAGATCTTCAGTATGTTCCTCAGATACAACTACTTGACTTCCTGACTCAATGTTATCCGTAGACTCGGGTTCTTGTTTGACAGGTAGCTCGGTCTTAATTTCATTTCCTGCCTGGACATCAACTGTTTCTGTAGGATTTTGTTCCAGGTGTTTTTTCCTAAGGCGGTTCTGTATCTCTTTCAATGTTAATTCTTCAGGTTTTTGTTCAATGCGTTTGTTTCTTAGACGATTTTGTAGTTCTTTCAGAGTCAATCCATCGCTATCACTATCAGAGGTATCATCATCATCATCATCATCATCTGCACCTCTGCTTTTCAAGACTGAATGACCCTTATTGTCTTTAGAGTCACTCTTCTGAGTGCCAGTTTTTATATCTGGAGTGCTCTCTACACTGCCTTCAGAGGCAGTCTCAACATCTGTAACCGGACAGGATGCTGGTTCACTTGAATCTTCAAGAGCAGTAGGAACACTCTTCCTACCTCTACGTCTTACTGTTGTAAGAAATTCTTCCACTCTTTCAGTACGCTTGGGTTGCCGTCCACTACGTCTGAGAGACAGGCTTTGCTGCTGCTGTGGCTGTTGTTCATGAGTGTCCACATCAACATCTCCTGCACCTTCTCGTTTGGCAATTGTAGTCCTTCGAAAACCCCATGTTTTCTTGAACTCCTTACTTGTAGGCTTGATAGTTTTTTGTTCCTCCTCATTACTTTGTTCACCTTTATCATCTAAAACTGCTGAAAGTAAAAGTAAAATCATGAAACAGACACTTTTTACTTCCTCAGATGCTTGAAGTGAAAGAAAGGCAGGGATCCATAGACTGGAGTTAACATTAGTGCTAATTAAATCAGGGTGCATGAGGCTCCCCTCCAACAGTAATGAGAAGGTGAGAGTACCTGAAGGAGAAATTACTTATTGTAATGTAAAACTGCGGTCATCTGAAAAAGTGGGCTGTGCCCACGAAAGCTCATGATACCATCTACATGTTTTGTTAGTCTATAAAGTGCTACCAGATGATTTGTTGTTTTTTAAGTTTATTGTAATGAGAGAGCCATTCTGACTGTCAAAATTGCATATGAATTCCACCTTAGAAGTTTCCCACTGCAAACTGTTTTGAAAGGTTTTTTTTGCTTCAAAATGGCAACTTGTAAGTCTGTAACTGAGCCCAAGGAAGGTTAAAGTGGAACACCCACTGGTTTTTGCATGTTATCATTCCTGATGTCTTATTTGTGTCCATTTGTTCTTTTGCATGGAAACAGTCTAATTTGACCAATGTACATGGCACAGGGACATAGCTGGCACATGATGGCATATATCATGATTATTTTTTTGTTTCCTAACTGACCAGATGTCATGGCATCTACCAAAAAGGGTTTTCTAGAAAGGTTAGAAACAATTTCAAGGTTAGAAACATGATGGCACCACGAAAGGGTGGGCCAATTAAAGTTAGCTCCGATCTCTAAACTCAGAAAAATTTTAACTTACTGAATAGCTGGTCAACGGTGCGTTAGAAGGCTCTCACAATCTCTCTGGTTGGTGATTTGCATTAAATTCTAGATATTTGCAACTGGAGTCACTTGTGAGGGAAAGAACTTATATTTGTTCTATCCCAAACCAATACAGTAGCATTTGCTAAAGGGTGTGCATACATTTCTGGAAGGAGTGATTTATTATTAATCCCTTGTAGCTTAGCAATGTTTATAATGCAGCAATTTTCTTGTTCAATAAACCAGTCCTACCTTTCTATAATTTTTTTAACCTAAATCTTTTATAAACAATGTGTGAAGTTCTGGCCCAACTGAAGTCAAGGGAAAAAACTGCCACTGATTTCAATAGGCTAATGATTTCACTTAAGGTTTCCTACATGCCAACAGGATGCTGCACCACCATGCTTTACAGCCATTCCAGAAGACGACTAAAATAATTAATTAGGAAAATGGTGAATGGATTAACAAATTAGAATAAGCTGTTCCATGACCACATGCCCGTTCCCTCTTCAATTCTATCATTTAAAAAAAAAAAACCTATTTTAAAACTCAGGTCTCCATTTTAATTTAAACCAATTTTTTTAAAAAATTTTCAACAGTAAAGTATGAGAAATATACAAGGTATTTCTGAAACTTTTAAATTACACTTTAAAATGAATAAGAAAAAGAAAAAAGATTGATTTGTTTGATAAAGATAGAAGGGATGATACTGCTGTTAGGCTGTTCATAGTAGGAATAAGGATGTTAGCAACTAATCGACTAACCGATCAACAGAAGCTTATCAATTAGCACTATCGATCAGTCACATTTCCCCAGCCGCCGCTCTGCGTTGCACAGCTGAGTGAAGCAGCTGAGTTGGTCCCTCAACCACGCGTTTCTTTTCATTCAGCCTAGTATATGTATGTGTGGTGATGAATGAAAAGGAATGCATGGAGCAGAGACCGACTCAGTGCCTTTGCGCGCGGCATTCCTAGACTATGTAATGCAGAGCGGCAGCTGGTGTGTGTGTTGAATGAAAAGAAATGCGTACAGCAAGAATCAACTCAGTGCCTTTGATTGCGGCTTCCCTAGGCTGTGCAATACAGAGCAGTAGCTGGGGAGGTTATGCTGTGAACCGGTGCTAGCCAAACTGAGCACTGGGACTGCCTACCCTTATCAATTAATCAATTCGTGACAGAAAATCTGTCAACTAATCGATTAGGAAAGTAATTTTATTTTAACATCCCTAAGTAGGAACTCCCCCTTTCTATGCACTCTCATAGCAACTAACATAACCTCCATCTTGATTAGGGTTTCTATACGATATAATTAAAACAAGTAATATGCTGGCTTTCTTATGGCAGCATAAAACCTAGGGTCAAATCCTTAACAAAAATCCAAAGTCATGAATGTGAAAGCAGCTCCAATATAGCTTTTTTGTGCACTGAATGAAAGACACACAGAATAGAGACTTACAATACTATTAAGATAATTCCTCATCCCACATATCTTCACATAGCATCACTCCTTTTAGTAACTATCTGTCAAAGAACAATTTTTTTTCTTTTTGAAGTGCCTCACTAATGTTCTGGAGACTCTATAAAAAAACCCAACAAAATTCAATAGCTTAAAGCAGTTTTTCTCAAAGTGGCTCTAGTTTGATGTTTCCAGTCAATGGGAACTGCAGGAAGCAGCTGCTGCTTCTTGCGGCTCCCCTTGGCTGAAAATGGCAAGCTGGAGCCAATTGGAGCTGCAAGGCTTCATGGCCATAGAGCCGTTGTTTATCTAAAGTGGAGCGGCCTGTTAGCAGTTTTTCACTTTGAGAAACACTGGCTCGAAGAAACCAAACCAAACAAAAAAAAACCCCTATATATCAGTGGTGGGCAACCTGTGGCCCAAGGGCCACATACAGCCCTCTGGGGTTTTATATGTGGTCTGTGAGACACTGTGTTTACCCACATGCTGGGTTGCCAGATTCCGCTGATTTCCACCCACATAGTCCTTTTCCTATCAGTATTACTGAAGTGACACATTCATGTAAAACATGGGCACATGACATAAGGTGCGTGCTGACTGCACACAACATTGGGTGAGAGCCAGGCACTCCCTGTGCATCCAAAGCCCTGCTGCAGTTCAAATTGGCACACCATGCAAATTCTAGGTATGTAAGCGCAGGGAGCAAAACTACCCTAACCTAGAAGGCTGTCTTGGTTATGACAATCTTGCAGCACACTGAGATGAAGGAGGGCTACTCATGCAGTCCATCACTGCTACAACTGGTAATCCCTCTCCCAAAACAAATTACATCCTATTGCATTACTTTTACCACTATGGCCCTAGCCTAATCAGCTTGCCATCTGAACTGAATACAAACAAGACTAAGAAAACAGTATTCTTTGGTACAGCGCTTTGAAGATCCCCAAATCCAGAATCTGGTAGAACAAAAGATGATTACGCTGATGTCAAAGATACAAAACTGACTTACCAGGAGAACGGTTTTCCATGTTGCCAAGGCTGGATTCAGATTCAAATGCCAGAGACTGTGAACTTACAACTTGTTCCATAATACGGAAACCACCATTCCCAAAGTGTAACTCTAAAAATAAATGTAAGACTCAGATTTTAATTGCTTGGACCTGGAGATTGTTGCATTTATTAACAAGAGATTTCATTTTAAAAAAATCTGTCTCAATGAACAGACAGATTTACTTACTGCAAACATGTAAGTAATCTCCATTTCTGATCCCAAATCAATACCAGAAAGAAAAAGATCTCAAACTTATGCAAACTGCTAAGTTGTACAGCACATTTTTGGATATAGCACACAGAGATGTTAGAGATTGTGTAACTGAACAGTCATGCAACCGCATGCAATCTTTGCAGTTACGTGACAATTTGATAGTCCTCAGAAGTGGAGCTGGCAGTCAGTGTGCTCCCAACACCACTGCCAGGGAGCCACTCAACACCCTACAGTGCTGCCTTTGAAAGCTAGTTTCCTCGCACCTATTGGCTCCATCCTACCTTCCTTACCCTCCATGCTGCTGCTTCTCTATCGGAGGCGGCAGCATAAGGGTGAGAGGGGAGGCAGATCCGGTGCTTGTGGGAAGCCAACTTTTAAATCAGCTCCTCACAGGCACCCCAGCTCCTGCTTTCCACCCCCAATACAGAGGAGTGTAGTCAACAAGATTAACTGATAAACCCAAGTTTATTGCTAATCGTGTAGCTATCTACATGCTGACATCCCTAATAGCACATGCATGCACTACTAACTTGCTTCCAGATTTCTGCAAATTGCTTAGCAAAAATAAGAATAATAAAAGCTGAAGTATATAGTCAACAACTCAAAATAATCTATGCTATCAACTATTTTAAATGTTTCATTTACAGGGACACAGTTGACTGTGTATTTTCAGGTATTTTCTTTTTTACACACACACACACACACACACACACACACACACACACACACACACTCACTTTTAGGACTTAAAAGTTAAAAATCAACATGGATCTGAACCTAAAAATTAGACGTCTCAGTGCAAAAGTAATTTATTAATATAGTTACAAGTGCCAAATTATAGGAGAACTAAATGACACTATACATGTTAACTACAGTATCATTATAATGGCACTTTGAAAACTTACACAAATACACACCAAATAAGATATAATGGAATGCTCATCTCAGTGTTGTTAAGACTGCAGAAGTTACAAGATGACATGTAAGCCTAGCAAGACATTATATTGGATGTAATTTATTGCTCCAGTTACAATCAAGTCCCAAGTTCCAGCAATCTTGTTTTATAATAATCATGTATAAAAATGTGAATGACACATCCAAAATATTGAGTTATAAACATATTTCCTTATTTTTCCATACCAATACCTAATTGTCACATACGAATGCAGTGTTGTGAAAATACCAGCAGATTGTCTAGAAGATGCCTTAGCCCATAAGCATCTATGAATATTTTATAAGACCCTATTAAATCTATCTCTATATTACAGATTTGTGTGTCTGTTCATCCGTCGATGTATCTGTCTAAGAGTCTATTTGTTCAAAAACTCTTAAAGGTTAAGAGCTAGGACCACCAAATTGGGAATGCAGCTTCCTCTTATCCTAACTTCAAACAAGGTTAGGGTTTTGTTGCGCCAGGAAAATGGGATATGCCCTAATTTGATTATTTTCCATAACATGGAAAGGGACGGGGCAGAGAGAGAGAGAGAGAGAGAGAGAGAGAGAGAGAGGGGATGTAATTTTCACAATCAACACTCAGGGAAGCCAGCACAGGGGAGAGCTATACTGCAAAGTCCCCACTGGGGGCAGTTGCATCATCAACAAAGTGGCCAGCTACAGATGGAGCTTGCCTGTCAGGTAAGTGGCTCCCTGCCTTAAACACCTCCTGCTCTCTGCTCTCATCTCTAGCACGAGACTGGGAAGTGGGACTGAGAAGCCTTCCCCTGCCTTGGGCAGCTGCCAGGAAATGCTGGGTAAGTCTGCTAGTTAAAATATAGAAGTAGGAAACATGTCATCTGAAAAGAAAAAATCTCCAGAACATTATCCAGATTGCAGTGAAGAAAGGCAGAATGATAATTTATTTCTATTATCCCTAGTTATCATCTATAATTTTATCAATATCTCATGGAGATCATCAATACACACAAAATGGAAAATTTAAATTAAAACTCTACTTTCTAAAATGAACTATTGCTGAAGAAAACAATTCCTTTCTCTTGAACTCTGAAATCAGGATTAATTGCTATGGAAACCAAGATATGCCAACATATGGATCATATTTTTTTTTAAAAACCCTATACAAGACAAACAACATTGATGAACAGGTTCTCCTCTTTGACATAGAAGAGGTGGCTGCTGCAACCTAGTTGTGGCTCTGTGAACTTCAGCTGTTCATTCTGAGTAGAAGTTAAAGCAAGAGATGAGTTACTGAGTTTCTCTAACCACTGCCACTGTAAAAGGCTCAGGCTCAGACATAGTTTAATTCCATCACACACCTTCCTTGCTATTTCTAGCTATTTTAAAAGCCAATTTAAATTACCATGGCTAATAGACATTCACGTTGACAGATTAAATAAGTAAGTCAATAGCTTACTCAGGAAGTAGTCATTCATTTTGGCATGCCATACACAAAGGAAGGACAATTTCAAAGGTAGAAAAAACATTGTCTAATAGTCCAGAACAGGACTTGGAATTACAGATGCTTTCTTCTGGAAAATTTTTGCTCAAGGCCACAAGCAGTGAAGAACAAAATTGGCTCTAGCAAACTGATCTCTCTCATAATTTCTTTATGGGATTCTTCTTCTGGATCCAAATCAAATGAAACACGAGTACTCTTAACAGAAACCCTTTTGTATTAGGAATACCAGGATTCTGTACAAAATGAGATTTTGTGAACCCACATTCAGTCTAGACAAATCCAGGATGGGAGAGAAATATCCTATTTTCTTTTTCATTGTGAAATATATCTATCAGAAGCAAATAATCTGTCTTCTGGGTAAGACAATGGCTCTTTGGGAAATAAGTTTCATCACGCTGGTCAGAACTGCCTAGGAGGGGTGGGCATGTTAGTCTGTATCTGCAAAAACAGTGAGTAGTCCTATGGCACCTTATAGACTAAGGGTATGTCTACGCTACCGCCCTCGTTCGAACTAGGGTGGTTAATGTAGTCATTCGAAGTTGCAAATGAAACCTGGGATTTAAAAATCCCGGGCTTCATTTGCATCTTGCCGGGCGCCACCATTTTTAAACCCCTGTTAGTGCGGACTCCGTGCCCACGGCTACACGCGGCACGGAGTAGGTAGTTCGAATTAGGCTTTCTAATTCGAACTACCTGAAAAGCCCGGGATATTTAAATCCCGGGCTTCATTTGCAACTTCGAATGACTATATTAACCACCCTAGTTCGAACTAGGGTGGTAGTGTAGACATACCCTAACAGATTTATTTGAGCATAAGCTTTCATGGGTAAAAGCTTTGCATCTGACGAAGTGGTTTTTACCCATGAAAACTTATGCCCAAATAAATCATTAGTCTTTTAGTGCCGTAGAACTGCTCATTGCTTTTGCAGAACTGCCTGTCACTTCCTGGGACCCCAATGGGGAAGCAATGAAAAGAAGTTAGTTTTAAAGAAGGACATTCTCAATAATTTTAAGAGTCCAAGAGAAGAAAGTGTCTAATGGATACATTAGTTATTTCTGGGATGCCATCTCTATACGGTGTTTGGGAAATATTTTTATTCCCCAATGGACCTCCATGGATGAAGGAATGAAAAGACTATTGTTTTAGTCATGTTGGTAATTAGTAATTCAGCAAAAGGTATTACGCATTGCCTTTAGAGAACACTCATTTTATAAGACTGGTTAAATATAATCTTGTTCAGGTTAAAAGAATTTCTCAAAGCTTTATCAACAAATTTCTGAAAAAATTCAGCATATTGAAAATAACTTGAGTAAGGCTGGTCCCTGATTTGGTCTCTGTGTCAAGGCTTCCAAGCTATATGCTGTGCCAGAGAAGAGTTCTGGTAAAAATGACAAAAATATCACAAGTTAAACTGTAGAGTAAAGCTATTGCTGATGTGACGGACATAGCTTCTTAGAATTCCTCTCTAGACGTCTATGAGACTTCATGTCTAAGGAAACAGCAGGGAGCAAGTGACAGAAACAACACACAAGCATGAAGCAACTTGATCAGGATCCAAAATAAGATGACCCTGATCATTAAAACCAGTAAGCATATGTGCTGCTGCATTTCAAACAAGTTGCATGCAATGTGAATGCCCTGCTAAGAAGGAATGAAAAATAAATTTTTTGATCACTAGCACATGCGGTGGTGTTGTGCAGTCATCACAGGATACATAAGGATTTAATGTTACCAGTTTATGCAAGTAAACTATTTTCGAATACTTTCCTTGGAAAGGTAATAGAAATGTATCCTAATGAATTTCACATTATACATACATCTAAGCCACAATTAAACTTTAAAACCGTTGTTAAACTCTGCTCTGTACATAGAACTTAAGAAGTCTCTAGAATGAGAACAGCAGCGCCATACAATTCAATTTCCATTTCTTTTACAAGTATCTCATTTATGATCAGAAAAAAAAAACCTTGAATGATACAATTTATCCTATTTTACAGGAACTGCTGGGGGAAAAAAGTTAGCAAATTTCCAACATCTTCATATATATACTCACAATTCCAATGGCTAGCATGTGAGGGGTTTTAAAGCATGCTATTATTTTAAATCTCACTATTTTTTGCATCTTGCAATGTGCAGTCTTCAGACAGTTCCTGTTTCAAGCAGTGTACTAGCATATGCTACACTTGTAACATATCAGGCACAAACCCCTCTAGAGTTAGCCTTTGACCAAAAGGTGCCATGTATTTGTCTAACTGAATTACAAATTGATGCTCTGCAAATTATCTGGGAAATAGGGAATTTTTCAACTCCACACACCAGTGTTTAAAAACACAAAACTTGCAAGATTCTTTGTAAGACCACTTTAGCAGGATTTTACTCTTGTACAGATGATAAAACAATATAGTGTGTGTTTGAGAATCACTGTAAGTGGGAAATGGTGCAGCTGAATTTAAAATAAAATAATTTTAAGTTAATAGTAAGGTAACCAAAATTCTCAATCACCCTTTCTAGCCTAACTACTGGAACATTCACATGTCACTTCTAAACTTGATAGAATTTTGTTAAGCTCTTTGGACAGTAACATTTTAAAATAACATTAGTTTTTTAAAGTTTTTAGCCTCTTATTTAGTAACAAGATTATAATATTTTAAAATGGAAAAGAAACTGCAATTAAAGCAATTACGATGCAAGAGATTAAACAATATTTTACGTCTTTGTTTACCTTGGAAGATGAAGAAATGTTAGAGTACAGCAGAGGAAATCCAAATTCTGAGATTTAAAATTCCAGATAAAAATTAAAGTAATAGGAAGAATCTTCAATGTCCTCTATATGCTTTACCTGACACAGCATTAGAGGTTGGGATGATTTCTCCCTGGAGATCTAAATGAAAGGGAGAGCGAGAAGAGGGCAGCAGTCGATCAGAGTCATTCAGCATAATACCTAGAGCACGTGCTGAATTTGATAATTCAGAAGTGCATGGTTCATCTTGATGACAACCCAAAGACTCAGATATCAATCCTCCGGTTGTTGTAGACTCCTGGAAGGAAAAACAAAAGTTTAAAAGTTTATATAGTTTTATTCATTTACTTTACCACTTTGTATTATACAATTCCAACAAGTCTAACAACGCAAAGAAGTAAATTGTAGGTATTACTTTAAATTGCTACAAAATTCTCATTGATAAACAATAAATGTGCAAATTAAGATAGCTCTGGCAAGAAAACAGATGCAGATCCACTTTGCATTTTACTGTAACTCATGAATGTAACCATCACATTTTGTTTCTTCATCAGTTTACCCCTCAAGAAATGGACTAAAACGGGAATGAATATTATTGTAAAGGATAAAAAAAAATAAAGGTTAAACTTCTCTAGTCTGGCACTCTCAGGACCTGAACAGTGCTAAACCAGAGAATTTGCCGAACCATGGAAGGTCAACATTGTAATGAGTGAGTCTTTTTTATTTCACCAAGGAGAATAAATGGAACAGTGCTTGTAATGATGTTTAATAATGTATGAGTGCGCTCATAAGTCCTATATAAGCCTAACTTAGCCAAGGGTTGTGAGTTCTCTTCATCACAAAGTGTTGTTACATAAGTTTACTCTATTGGCACAAGAAAGGAAGTAGAAAAAAGCATACAAAACCTGCTTATGTTTAGCAGCATTACCACCATTTCCACTCCTTGCTGGTCTCATAAAAGACATGTAAGGGTAATTTAGAGCAAGAGCCAGGAATGGTGGCTATAAATATATTTTATGGGACCACAGTAGACTTGGCCACATCCACAATAATTGGACAACCAACTAACTAAAATCATGCCAGACAAGACAGTGCTGGACTAGAGTGTCAACCTGTACTAACACAATTACACTGTTAATACTGATCTTTCAGTGTCAAGAGGAATGTAGCTTGTATACTGATAAATTTGTTTAGAAGCATTAAGATTTTCATAACACAACAGTTTACTTACTGTACTAAATATGAATGTAACAAAACTCTAATAATAGTTTTTAGTAGCTCAGCAAGAGTAAAATTAAAAGATGCAACCTATATTTAGATTTTTCTAGTACTGAAAATATAAAGAACATAAGAATGGCCATTCTGGGTCAGACCAAAGGTCCATCCAGCCCAGTATCCTTTCTGCTGACAGTGGCCAATGCCGGGTGCCCAAGAGGGAGTGAACCGAACAGATAACAATCAAGTGATCACTCTCCTGCCATCCATCTCCAGCCTCTGACAAACAGAGGCTAGGGACACCATTCCTTACCCATCCTGGCTAATAGCCATTAATGGACTTAACCTCCATGAATTTATCTAGTTCTCTTTTAAACCCTGTTATAGTCCTAGCCTTCACAACCTCCTCAGGCAAGGAGTTCCACAGGTTGACTGTGCACTGTGTGAAGAACTTCCTTTTATTTGTTTTAAACCTGCTACCCATCAATTTAATTTGGTGGATCCTAGTTCTTATACTATGGGAACAAGTAAATAACTCTTCCTTATTCACTTTCTCCACATCACTCATGATTTTATATACCTCTATCATATCCCCCCTTAGTCTCCTCTTTTCCAAACTGAAAAGTCCCAATCTCCTCTTTTCCAAGCTGAAAAGTCCTAGTCTCTTTAATCTCACCTCATATGGGGTCTTTTCCAAACCCCTACACATTTTAGCTGCCCTTCTCTGAACCTTTTCTAATACAATTATCCCATTTTAAAACATGTGTTATCCTATTTTAAAAATGTAAGGAACATTTAACATTACTAATGGAGCTAACACCAACTATACTCCTATA